CAATTCTTTCTAAACCAATGAAATCAGTGACCAAACACCGCCCATTCTCTCTTGTTAATTGGTCAGTCTTCATCGATCTCATAAGATCTTCTACATGGGATCAATATTGCTTAGCACAGGATGTACAAATTGCTTGGGATGAGCTCTACCACCGTATTCAGCTTTGCATTGAATTTGTGGCTTCAGAATACACTAAGCCGTTGAAAAGGATTGCCGCTCCAGCAGGTATCTCGAAAAAGGTAGTGGTAGATACATATAATAGGGAAAAGTTTAGGAAAGCAAAGGATTTTACCCTACTGATTCTCCATACCAGAATGATAACAGCGTTAGATCATGATCATCACGAAATGATATGCTCCGAGGAGGTAGTGGTACTGAACGGCGCAAAGGTGACGGGTTCCATCACCAAACTTTGGATCGCAGACAGAACAGGAAATCAAGTAATATTAACGAGTGTATACTATGATGGAACTACCATAACCGCTCGTGAAATCATATGTTCGATCTTCAATGACTACTCAATGTCTACCTATAGTACCAATGCGATGGAAGAACCTCAGCCCAAGCTGCTAAGCAAAGGAAGCAAATTGTTGAATACAAACGGTCGTATAGGTTTGCAAATGAGCTTACTTCGTTCAGCATGCTCTCCAAGCCCTGACAACATCCCGCCAATTCTAGTCAAACAAGGAGGCCCAGACATCTTCTTGTTACTGCTTACACTTTCCATGATCAAAGTAGAGTATACTGTGCACTGGAAACAATCAACTATAATTCCAGGACACAAAAATGTTTCTATGCAAGATGTAAAGAATTACCGCCCAATCCACCATACATCCATTATTTCTAAAACATGCAGAGGTTAAGTAAGGAACGCATAAGAGAATACTAGAGTTCTATGAGATTTATCAATAAACATCAGCACAGTTTTAAGGGATAGGTCATGCACCACCTTTCAGTTAGAGTAGCTTGATTGTGTAACTAGAGGAAGCCTTTGACCGTGTCCCACACAACTTATTGCTACGGAAGATTATCTTGTGATATCACAAATTCGTTTCTAAAATGGTTGTCTTCCTACCTCGTGGTTAGAAAGCAAGTAGTCAAAATTGGTAACTGTACATCTGAAGCCAGTTCAATATTCAGTTGAGTGATTCAAGAAGTCGTATTGCGTCAGCTTGTATTCTTAATTTACTTTAATGCTTTCCTTGATAAAATTATGTTCGGGAAGCCATTCCATTTCGCTGATGACGTTAACGTTGTGTATTGTTCCACCCGTTGGAAAAGTAATCCTAATTTAGCCTGTATTCTGTCTGACTTATCCGCATTGGAGCACTGGAGTAACTCCTGGAAGTTGCACTTCGCCAATGACAAGTGTAATCTATAGTACTACGGCTGTGACACTCCACCGAACATCCTTACCTTAAACAACACTCCTATTTCTGTGTGGCATAGTCCGAGATATAGGTCTAAGACATTATGCCCCATTAGATATTTTTGAGCAAATTTTGTTTTTGCAGGCTTCTGCCAGGAAAATCATCACCTACATAAACCGAGTTCAAATCTTGTGGGATTCCAAGCTTCAAGCCTTCAAAATATGTGTTAGGCCAAAGCTTGGATACTGTACACTTGTGCACGGAAATCTGAAAAAAGTGGACATCATAGCACTGGAAAACATCCAACGATCATTCACGGAGAGATGGTTGAAGTTGCCCAACATTATGACTTAGCGTGAGCGTTTCGAGGCCCTAAAATTGCAGCTGCAATGGCTGCGCAGACTCAAATCAAATCTTTGCTTTCTCTACCGTTTATTATTCCGATTAAAATTTACAGCTGAGCCAAAATTCGAGTTTCAGGCTCCCAAGTGCTATGACATAAGAAACAGCGTGCACATACAGCATATCCAAAAGTCGTGTACCAACCTCCGCTCAACTTTCTTCTCATTAAAATATGCGTTTATATGGAATAAACTTCCATCGAATATCAGAAAATGCTATTCCTATCTGCAACGCAAACGGATGATCAATGTTCACATGACTGTTTCCAATATCTTGTCAACACAGCCAAAATATGACTCTAGATGATTGGTATGAGAAAGGTCTTGGATACATTTAAAATGTGCAATATGCACTAATTGCCACAATATTATAATTTTATCTTCACATGGATGAACTCTTTAGTATGTATTTACAATCCATCTTATTCCTATCACCCCTACACTCCGGTCTAACCAACACTATCTTCTTCTCCGTTGGTGCACTGTTTTGGGTGTGAACTAGGGGTTTCAAACTGAAATCTCCGTACGATCGTCGTAGTTCGCAGTGATTTCCTACCAACTTGTTCTTGGCCTATAAGCGAAAGCTTGCAAACATTACTAAGTTTTTGATTCCTCATATCTTACATTCTTCCTTGTTTCACTGTTGGCCACGGCTGGGCTGATCACTTGAGGTGACGGATTACAGCTTCCAAGATAAAAAAGTTATATCAATGCAAAGCATACTGCCATTGACTCGTTGGCAAATAACAAAAATTGCCACACTTGAGTGATCTGAATGATGGATCGGACTGAGGCTTCAATGCCCACAATGGATGCATAAAGCAGCCCTAATAAAAGATGACATTTGTGAAACTGGTGACGGCTTACATGCTATTTTGCCACACCGGCACAGAGCCAATTGGAGCATGGAAGTGCGGGTGAAATCCATCTGGGGAAGAAACCCGTATGGAATCAGGTACCCTGGGGATGATTCCATGGATGGCCGGATTACTTTGCTTGAACTTTTGGCTAAATCTGCATATGTTATTGTTCCCAGTTTCTTAGTCACTCTAATAATATCAATGTGCCATTCTTTTCAGAAACCCACTAGGACCCGTTGTACAACGCATGAACAATCAACTATGTGATGCGATCTCGATGTATAACTTGATCATTCCACTCATTTGGATTGTGCCCTCGCACCGTCGAGGATTAAAACGTTTATTTATTTATTATCTATACCTTACAGAGCAACGAGTATCGAGCCGGATGTAGATCAACATGGCCATACTGTAAGGGAGATTAAAACAAAAAAGTATAAGGCACGATTAGTCAGCGAATAAAGTGTACATAAAATATATTTGTTATCTTTTGGGACGCTACAAACGTTTTCTCATCCAAGGATGTCCCGAGAAATTTGATCCGGAATTGCTACATTACTTCGCCCGAGGTACAGAAGTCTGCCTCGAGGATAACTGACTCTTCTGGAGGTCTAGAGCTATTATACCGCCTCGGTTACGACATTATGTGTTGAAGGAACAGCACGAAGCTCACCCAGGTATCATAAGAATGAAAGGGTTCGCGCGGTCTTATGTGTGGTGGCTCGGCATTGATAGCGACATAGAAAGATTGTCAGACACTGTGAAATATGTCAGAGTACACAAAGAAACGCCTAGTCGGTGTTATTGAGTCCATGGAATGACCCGACAAGCCATGGGAACGCATATATGCAGACTATTTTTGTCCGGTGATGGAAAGATGCTTTTTCTCATAGTGGATGCCTATTCCAAATGGACTTAGATACATCCACTGACACGCGCCACTTCGGAGACTACCGGTTCCTTCATGTGAACATGTTTTAGCACATTCCACAAACAATAGTGACAGACAACGTCTCCGTATTCACTAGTCCAGTTACCAGTGTTCCTTCAAAATAAAGACATCATACAGGTGAAGACCGCGCCTTACCACCCAGCCTCACATGGACCAGCGGAAAGAGCAGTCCAAATAGTAAAATACGGGTTGCAGAAACAATCACGCGCTCCACTCCGAGCAAAGTTGGACAAATTTCTATTCGCCTACCGCTCCACCGCAAGTACAACAACAGGCAAGAGAGCAGGCGAACTGATGTTCGGACGGAGGCTTAGAACGCGGATAGACTTACTCTTTTCTCATCAGTGACTATGCGTCGAGGTGGGGCAAAAGAAATCATAGGTGAGGTACGGTCGAGAGTAATCAAATCGACAACTTTGTGAGAACTGTGAGTTCATGTCAAACTGCCCCACGAACTGATTTGACAGCCTGCAGTGTCACGCAAAATTGAAGGGCAGAGAGTGGAGGTGATTACCCGTCATATGGCTCACGTCCGCCGTCGTTCTGTTTCAATCGGGTCAGACGACAATTGCCAAGCCAGTCAATCGAGTCAGTGGTCGCGTAGGTCACACAGACCATAAGCCTTCCGGAAGCCCAAACAATACTCCTCTCGGCTACAGTACGCCATCCAGATGTTTGTTACCAGGCTGTCTGGGAAATTGGCAACTAAGGGGAAGAGGAATGTGCCGTATGCTTCACTATCTCAAGTCAGATATTCACACCCACCATTGACTGTCGCTGTAATTCCGCGTGTATGTCCGTTTGTCGATTATCCACTCGGTGGTGGCTCGGCCTCAGTTACTTGATCCATGCTGTGCACACGTCTTGCTAGAATACACACTGCGTGACGTCAGATCTGTGTGTTTTGTGTCTTTCGGCTACGTGCTATTACTGTTTTTTTGCAGGCTTGCGTTACTTCCGCACGTGTAAACTTTAACATTGTCTCAGTTCACCGCAGTTTACACTAAAATTATTAGGTTTGATCCGATTAACATGAGGACTACTTAGTCAAAGTTGCGAAGCGTTTCCTCCTCAATTTAGACATGGCCGCTTGTATTGCTAAACAGCTGGGGATACTTTTCTAAGAGTGTTTAGCTGTTCTCCGAGCTAAGTATTATGACTGCTGACATTCGGTCACCAAGTTACACATATCGCTTTTGCACCTTTCAGGGATGTTGTACTGAGGATTATACCTAGGCTGTTTAAATGTGTGTACAGCCACCATATGCAAATCGGTCGATACCAAAATATCATTTTCCGCGCCACGAACTATAAGTATTTTTCCGGCTGTCGATCCGATCTTCTCTTTTAGAAATTTAGCCTGTTCATATAGAAATTTCAACGCAGTATGCAAATCAATTGTTTTTCTGTATTGTAGCAAGGGGCCGCGGGATGATGTCAACGATGAAATCCGTGGTTTCGTCGCGTCTATCATACAAGCCGCTATGCATCGTACGTACGAATGGCGTCTAATGAACGAAAAACAACCGTGAGTTACGAGATAAGGAGACAAATCGCATAATGCTGTTCTGTCCGTAATTATTTCCCTCAAGAAGTAATACGTACTTTTAGGACACTACATCAATCGTAGCAACGAAAGTTCTCCCCCCTACAATCGATTTCACATCAATATCGTCGCTAACACCTAGCTACCGTAAAAGTTCCGAAATTGACCACCTTTATAAGTAGACGGTCATGGAGTGCAGTGTTTGCCGGTAAGCAAAACCCAATTTCCTTCTGCTTGACCGTCTTATTTTTCATCTCTTGAACGTTCGCCATGTAAACCTTATGGATCCACACCTCCGTATGTTGACCACCTCTCTATGTTAACCAGTTTGATCCAGTCCCCTGAGTAGTCAACTGGCAGAGGTTTTACCTGTACCTGTTGGGCTTTGCTACTTTACTTATGGTTTCATAACAGACAGCTACTCAGCCCCAAGCAGCGACATGCGACAATTTGGTGCACAGTTGTCAGTCCGTTCGCTTAGCTATATATCAAGGGGAGTTAGACTATATATGCTCAAGGTTGTCATAAATCAACATGAAGAATAACTGAGCACACATTATCCACTGAACACAAAAAGAATTGGAAGTTGCCTTATACAGCTGCACGCAGTCCCATAAATACTAATTTGAATGCATCCGCGAGGAGCACATTGTGGAAGTAAACTAAATCTCTCTCTACTACTCTTGCCAGATGTAAAAGACCACTTTAATTGGTGCATTTTGCACGTTCTCTTAATTACGGACGACTATATTAGTACATGTTAGTTACTCTGATTGATCGCTTAAGTGTAAAAATAATATCCATAATTCTCCTTTATCTCGATTGCGTTGGGTTCGATTGCTGTTTTGGCAACCAATTTCTGACCCACCCTGTTATTTGTTTGTTTATGAATCTAATCAAAATTTAATAGTTTTCAAGCTTCAGTACTGTAGTGAATTTCGTTGAATAAGCTAGATTGCGTTGCTCAGCAACCGCCATGTTAGGAGGCATGAAAAGTAGGGCAATGATGCTGATGATCGTCTTTCCTCGCCTAATACTCAGCGTGCATTCGTGTTCATGCTGACTATCCCTTTAATAAAAACAGGGAAACCATTTTCGACCCACTGGATGGGCAATTGAACGAAAAGATTATAGAGTTCGAAGAGGAAAAACGCGTCTAGTACAGTACCAAGCTGCAAAAGAAGACAGTGAACCCTCAAGCGAACAAGACATGGAGGAGACAGAGCAATCGGTTGCAGCCCTCAGCAAAGTACCACATCCGGACCCAAATATTAGATGGCCGACTATTGAGGAGTTTAACCAAGACCTTGGTTTAAAAAGTATGGAAGAATGCATAAAGGTATGTTGATTGATTCCAACGGATGGGCCGTAAGTAACTATTGCATAACTTGCTGCTCAGAAAGAGCATATAATTCAGCATGCAATAATGAATGCACCTGACCGCTACATTACTACTACCAATATCCATCACCGCGAATCGCGCTATGGAGTCAACTTTACCCTGTTACTTCGACGAATGATAAAATCTCAGTTATTTCTAGCTAAGACAGCCCTTAGTTTCTCAGTCAATAAAAGGCCAGGATACAACGACGGATTAATGTGACGTAAGCGAATTCATGTGATGTCACAAATTGGACAACTGACCACTGTGCAATCTCTTCGAATCAAATGCTGCACGTGCGAATATGATGCAGTGCGAAAAATGTTCAGGTGAAGAGCCTAAGACATAACTGATTCCTCCCAATCAGTGTAGTCAAACCAGCCTGCTAATGGGAATACTTATATGCTCCAAGTCGCGTCGGCAGATTTCTTCGCTCCAGGCTCCGTGGTACCACTGCCCAGTGTACTTATTCTATTCCGTTGGCATCCCATCGGTTCTTTTCCACGTTCGATAATAGTTTCCTAGATTTCTACTGTTTTTGTGTCTACACTATATTGGGGCCACGTGAATGTACCGTTACAATTCAACCTAATTGATTAGGGTATAAACACTAAGCTACTTGACACCTTAGTTTGTGTCGCCATTTGATCAACAACGTGTTTGCCTCATGGAATTAGCTGTGAAGTGGATGAGCTCTCGGGTCCCGGTGGCAGGTAATCCACAGCAACGGACATGAGTTATCGATCCGGAACTTTCCCGCTTAAATACAGCGGGGACTAACGACAAGACTTACGGGTTAAGCTATACCTCATCGTATTACTCAAAATGACCTCAAGCACAACAGTCGTTAAGCTACACAGGACTGTTGCATTTGTCTGGGTTGTTACAAAGCTTTGGACTGTCGTTCACAAGACCTTGTGTATTTTCAGGGCTGGCAACTGGAGGAACCTTGGCTGCATTGTACCGATGCTATCAGTGTCGAAGACGCAACTTACGAGAAGTTGTATCGGTACCGAGTTCGCTGGAGTATACCAACGAGACGCGCACCAATACCAAGGGCGACCGCGTCAGTCTATTTCACGATTGAGGTTTCTAAAGTCAAACCTAAGGTACGTCTCATTGGGGTAAGATCAATGGACACTGTATTTTACCAAGACTTCACAAAGAACATCTCTTCCACATTCATTCGCTGTAGCACAACGATGGAAAATTGCACTGTTGCTATTGCTGTTGTTTTTTCTGGTTGATAATTTGTGAAGTTTGCATAAGAGGCATGGACTGCGAAGCCGAAACCCTGGGCCACAGTCGTTTGAATAAGGTCTGTGCTTATGTATGCTAATATCCTCGTCCATCAAGCATACTCTAACTGAGAGGCATGAATCTGGTAGTTAACAACAATTTAGCTGATCAGTAAATTAATAAACCAAGTAGATTAAACGGACATTTTGCATTTCAGAATCATGAAGTTGACGTTTACTATCAACTGGAAACCTTCCGCACAAAGCACAGGTAAGTGAAAGAAATCAAGCAAACGAACAGCTGGTGGTCATACATGAGCCAATTCTTTCCACTCTGCATGCTCAATACACACGAGCCTTATTTATTACCTAGTAGAACAACGTAGCAACTATAAAAGGGTCTACGTCACACCTGATAGTGTACGTACAATAGGATTCAGTTAATAGTGCATCACTGTTGATTCACTCCCAAAGATATACCAGTAGCTCGAAGTAACAGGGCCCAGACAGCGCATCGCATAGAGTTGCTGTCGATAAGTGCAAAAAGCCACTCGCGCTGAAGTGCCGTCTATCTCTTTGATAGGAAATGTATACACTAGTCTAAGTCCGGGGCGGTAAACCATTCGACTTTTACCACAGTGCTTTTGCACTGGGTTTTCTTACCCCAGAGTGTTAATGTTGGAGCCATTTGTGTTATGGCATGTCATGTGTGTCCACAACCGACAACGCAGACCATCTCTAAGCACTGGAATGACACGATGCTGTGGTGCAGCAAATGTCTTACATTCACTGGCCTTTCGTGTTGAATCCCACGATAAAAAGCTACTTGGACTGTCTATACTGATAACTATAACTTGGATGCAACGTTCAGATGTAATCCTACTGACGCTTACACATGATGTGCCGTGAGCAAGAATACTATAGCCAAATCGACCTTATGAATTGGTTGTCTGATGGTTTCAGCTGAGGATAAAACATTAACCATATGAAGCTACGGTCCAAACAAACTATCCCACACCTTCTACCTAAGTGTAAGATGGAAGTCACACAATGAGTCCAGGAAAATCTAAGAAATATATTAATTATTGAGATACACTTTTGGTTACCAGTGATCAGCTGCGAGCTTTTTAGTAGTGAACCCCTCAGGGAGTTCTGTAGGTTGAAGCTATGGTGGACTTCTAAAACTGCTAATAACAACCTCCAGATTTCAAACAAACAAACCACCGACGTTTGCAGACAACTGTAGGACGAGTAGGTTCAAGGTTAACAAAATCCATGTTCAGAGTGAATCCGAATGTTTTACGAGCAAGTTGGCTCTTACCGTAATGCTCTGAATTGCTCAGTTCCACAGACTGAGGTGTGAACTATAAAATAACGCGCTGATTTTCTACGGTGTGTGGTGATAATCATCAGTCTCTCTAGAACACTAAAATCACGCATATGAGAAGTTTTTCCACTTGGAGCCCCATGCGCCCCTGCAAGCTTGACCTCACATCAATCATATTGTGAAAGTTTAAGATAACGGTATACTGTACAAATATGTAGATCATGATGATTATCCGAGTAATTATGTGGCTATTCAATCCTATAACTCTCCGTTACTTCAGTGTCTGCTGGACTGGCTAGTTTACCGAATTGCCTTCAATATTACGGATACCTGATGGTCAAAAAGACCGGGAACCACTGTATTCTGTGAGATTGGCCATCTTACTCATGGATGAGATTTGCCTGCAAGCAAAAGCTCCCGTCCGATTACCCCTGTGACTGTAAATGTCGTTACTGAGATGCAAACTTCCTACGTTCAGACCTAGAAACATCTTTTGGAAGTTCTTTTCCAAAGGAGTCTGGCATTTGCGGACGGGCTAACCTAAAGAGCGGGTCCTCAAGAGTGAGCTGTGGGTACCGTATATTACCGAATATAAGCCGATAATTGTTAGAACTTTTTTCCTTTTCTGTAGTGTGCACATAGTGCAGTCTGAATAAGGTCAAATGCAAAATCCACCTAGGAATTCACTGCACACTCCTGCTCCTCTCTCCCTTTAGCACCATCAGCTAGTGACGGACGGTATTCCAAACGGGGATTTGAACTGCCTCGTTTTTTCGTACGGCGTCTACTCAGCACTGCGGGCAGCGTGCCTATAACTAGACACCTTATTTTTATGGCGAAAGTTCTCGGTATCCTGCACATTTGACCTTCGGGGCGGATGGCAGTAACAGAAACACGCTGGAATATAAAGAAACAAACCCCACCACACACATGAGAAAAGCACGATTTTATGGGCTCATGATTGTGGGCCCACAGATCCAAACACTGCACCATGGTAAACCAACTTACACGAACCCTTCGACGTTAGAATCCGAGTCAGAATCTCCACACACGTTTCCACGGCTTTGGAATATCGCACGAGAAGAAAGCACGTTCTCTCTCAGCTGAATCATGTGACTTCGCGTTAGCGCTCTTTTTTGTAGCGAATCGAAAGCGCTCCTACATTACTGGCCAATAGTAGAGCAGGTTTCGCTTGAACACACTCAAATGAGGGCAGGTAACGATGAGTCGAAATCGTGGCGAAACAATTTCGTTTCCCGTTTTGTTGATTTTTGAAAGGTTGGCTAATTGCTTATGAGCAATTACGACTGTACAAATTGGACGTTGCCAAGTTGTAAATGAATAACTAAATTGTATATTACCCTACCGTGCGAGACGCAGACCAAATGGGTTGTCTGATCATTGTGTACAGCATACTCAGAGCGCAGGGAAATTGGTTGAATTTTACAATTTATTTCCAAAAGAAGCGTTGGCTTGCCCGATTATTTAAATGTGGTAAGTAGAACAAAGGAATAAATGTAGGCATAACCAGCGGTTCGAACTAATACGACCATCCGTGGAACCGTCTCTAGAGGAACTGCTTCCATGCGGGGGGGGGAGTCACTCGAAAGGTTTCATTCGCACTTCCGCGTCTCATCTCGTCATGTGCTGATGTGGAATGAAAGTAAGTAAGCCGTTCTTTTGTTGACCAGGTTTTTTGACCGCTCTTATACGCAGTAGGCCATCATCATGGAGATTAATTTTTTTATGGCCAACACATCTGCCACACACACACATCTGCCTAACACGTCTGTTGGGCTGTCATACTTAGTTGCACTATTCCACAGGTTTCTTCTTAACATCGCCACGGTAATGTCACGAGTTGTACTTGCCGGATGGACGTGACTTACCCGATGATATAACCAAAAACTACTAGGCAAGAGGAACAAGTTCGACCGTTTGGACAGCAGCTGATTAATGCTTTCCAGAGGAAACTTGAATATCCTGATATCGTAAGGCATCAGATAACTTGCCAAGAATGAGGTTATTAAGGCCCTGTACGCACGGCTGGAAGTCTGACTGCATGTTCCTCATCATAGACAGTAACCAGTGCCTGTTACATAGACAAAAACAGACTATGGTTAAAATAGTGAAATGTTTCGTAGGCGCTATGCGGTGATCAATTATGTCTTAAACAGTGAGACGCAGTTCTTTTCAGGTCTCACAGTTACTTCATTAAGCAAAGGAATCACTTGACCATAAGTTGATCTCAACCAGAACGTCGACACAAGTTACGGGTGTACGGTGTTGGTTAATGCTAACTAGTTTATAGGAAACTCTGGCGGCTTATCATGGTGCACGTGATATTTTCCGTCTATAGGCGGCTTGCGATTGTCAGTCGGCAGGCCCATGTATCTGCTTCCTCTATCACTTTGATCTCAGTTCCAGCATTTCACCAATCAAACCGTATTCACCTCCAAACATATTACCAGGATGGCTAATAAGAACTTGAAATTGGCCCAAATAGTGCAAACATCAAAGTATGTCGGTAAATACAGCACATTGTGTTTCAATAACCTGAACCGCACTCTGAAACCATACTACTTCACACAGCTTTGGGATTGTTCCTGAAAGTTTAAGTTTGCACCAAATTACTAGGTTGAGGAGAACTAAAGTGTGTCTTAAATCCCGATCCAAAATCAAACTGTAAATATTGGATATCCTTCCTGCTTTTCGAAGTCTATCCATAGCAGGTGTTTGGATTATGTCCTTTGATCTCATCCTGTAACTGGGTTAAATTTGAAACCAAACCCCTTCATTCCGATCACTTGGACCACATGCCAAGTTTGGACATTTTCTATGTTGCTCAGAGTGCACAATGCTTGCACCAAAGTTAATCGCGACCCAAACTGAGATTTATGCTGCAATCAGTACATACAGCCAGTAATCCGGAACCCGAATGGAGATTCCGGACCACCGACTCAGCCGTTGCTCGCGGAGAGCTACTAAATAATCGGAGATGTCCCTACGGGAGAATCGTGGTTTCCTAAGCCCCATTCCTAAACTTTGTCTGGATGTTCTGTGAAATTCAAGAAGGTCGAAATAGACCTCCGGGTGCAGTAAACTACAAGAGCAACACAGATATAAGGATCTAGTAACCCTCCGTGCATAGTAGTCCACATCAGCTATCTTCCTTGGCCCACTGAGAATTTTCCACCAAGCACTAGTAGAATTGGTTCTAGTACAACCCACTGATACGATTAAGGCAGAATAGAAGAGTTAGCGTAGCCTATTCTGTGTGTGAATGCCAAGTCTTTTTGTTCTTGCCGGCACACCTAGCACGCATCACTCTACAAATCAAGTCTGGTTATTTCTGTAGAACGAACTGTGGACATTGCTTAAGTCTGCAATTCATCCAAGAGACTCTTTTCCTATCCTTCACACTGGCTTGCGAATAAAGGTACTTACTCTGAGTGCATCATTCCCACTTTTTCTTTATAGACCTGGTTCTACTCGATTTTCGGAGAAGTGGTTGCATGATCTGATTGCCAGCAAAGCAAGGTTGATGTTATACGTAAACTTTTGAGAAATGGATACAAGTGCACCTGCGCGTACCAATGACAAGGTGCGACTCAAAGTGTGAATAGTTATTTATTTTGCCAAGTATATCCACTATCATATCCGGTATCCCTGTCGCACAGTCAATAACGGTCATGCCTTCCCGAAATATAACTTGGTTAACATATTGACTCTTTACCAAACAAGTGATTAACCGTAGCTGGGTTCTGAAATGGAAATCCTTCAACCAGAATACTCTGAAGATAAGATTATTTATATTCACTGCTGTAGCGCAGCGTAACTTTTAACGAACTCAGATTCCGAAGTTGCCTGTTCAAACAACTTTGCTTAGGCACCAAGCACTTGCATTCTGTGACGGCCGCGGCTGATTCCACGTCATCCCAGAAGCGACAACTATACAACACTGGGAGCATCCTTGTGATCCCGATAAAGAAACTGGAGTTGCACGCTTCATTGTTGCGCCTTTCGCTGGATTTTAGCTTCCAACCAAATGTAACTGGAAAAGTTAGGAAAATGGAGAAAAAGGTAACCTTAGTATGCTCTTCCTTCCACTAACTATACCATAACTATGCCATATACCATTGGCTTATCTGAGAAACTTTCCTGAGGCGGAATTGTCGCAAGCACGCCAGTGTTACCAGTGACGAGCCAGTTGCTGTTACTGAGCCTCCATCCACGTCAGTGTGGGTAGTGTAGAGTCTAGCCGAGAGGATGACATAGAAAAATAGCACTCCGCGTAGGTGTCAGTTCATTTTCAGCAGCAAGCTGAATGTTTACATACTTCTGAGGGTTTGTCACTCAGCATCCTGCAAACGAAGCAACGCTCTCTTTAGTAAGCAGTGACAAGAATAAGGTAGAAAGTGCCTGTAATATCGTGTATTCTGTATCGTAGTTTGCTTCCTAAGTAGCTCTATTCTTTGCTTTGTTTCCGAATCCCGGCCGTGTGCGATACAATTACAATTGAGGCCACTATTTGTTTTGAAGAATACTCAATCCGTTTCGGTCAGTGGAATCACATCCGAAGTGGGAAGTTTCGGAGCTGTTCTCTCCTAACACTGTACTCCACGACCGGTTTCGTGCTGAGTTGGACTCATCCGGTAGAGATAGCTTGAGGTAAGAGTGGAACCCGACACAAAGTGCTTGATGAGTTACGTCTTGATCAGTAAACCGGAGAAAATTGAGCAGCATTTGACACAACCGTTGGGAATAACTTGTGGAGGTTAAGACTATCCACCATGTGTTAGGATTGGGACACACAATCACAGTTGCGGTCACGGTTTGCTCTGAATAAAGCCTCTCCCATTTCGATCAATGGGACCACATCCGCAGTGAAGAGCTTCACTAGACCGGTCATATGCCCAGGAAACTGATTAACTGAACTTCGCTCAACGATGATTGATCGAATAGCGGACATATTTGTGAGTGCCAGTTTCGTTCTGGGCAGTTGAAGGTTATACCAGGTATCTTGGAAATCGTGTCCGAGACTTGGAGCGGCCTCACTCACGTGCAGATGTACTCCGGCAAGCTGAATTTCCAGCTGCCCAATGGCTAATTTTGCTCTCCCACACGTGCAGGCAAAGGTGGATGGCAGGGGTTGGTTTTGAACACAGGCAGCGCAGCCCAAGGAATCCAGGCCGGTCGGCTGTGAGAAGTGAATGTTGGCCAAACACCTCAGTCGCAATCGACGTGTCATGCTTCGAGTGCAGGTCAGACCAACGGAACCCAGGCTGTTCGGCGGTGAGAAGTGCACGTTAGCCAGACACTACAGCTGCGAACGATGTGCTATGGTTCGAGCAATTTTTAAACGGATTTCACGCAGGTGAAAATGCAAGCAAAAGGGATCATTGTGAAATGGTTAGTGGATCGCTGTGCTGGCAATTGAGAAGCAGTCTGGCACTATGCGATTACCATTCGATGGGCACCGCCTGCTATCGAAACACATGGACGGAATCTGTGGACGCTGGTGTAGGAGTCGACGCGGACTACTTGGATTTCTCTAAGGCATTCGACCGTATAAGCCATCGCATTCTCCTCCACAAACTCCAGAAATATGGAATCGGCGATCCTGTTCTGGGCTAGATAGGAGACTTTCTCCTTCAACGTCACCTGAATGTGAGGGTTAGAAGCAACCTATCAGAATCCATCGAAGTTCAGTGCGGCGTACCTCAAGGCTCGGTACTTGGACCCCACCTGTACCTGGCTTTTATAAATGACCTCGCGAGTGTGCTATCTTCTAACTGTTTGCTATTTACTGATGACATAAAGGTATGGCGCACTATAGCTGCAGTGGAGGATCACACATTCTTACAGGAGGACCTGGACAAAGAGTACACATGGTCCATCGAGAACAGGCTGCATTTCAACGTCACCAAGTGCAAAGTTCTCAGCATACGGCACAAGAGTATGTACAAGTACCGCCTAGGACCACAAATTCTACAGCGGGCTCTTCACGAGTGCGATCTCGACGTGACAGTTCAAGACGACCTCGGTTGTTTGAGGCAGACTGAAAAGGCAGCTAAGAAAGCAAACCTGTACCTCGGTCTTCTTCGCAGAGCTTTCGAGAAGTTTGACCCTTCAATCTTTCCAAAAATGCTTAGTGCGTACGTGAGGCCGTACGCGGAATACGCTATTCAAGCGTGGCAACCCTCGCTCAAGCACCGTCTCACCGCGCCCGATACTGCACAACGTAGGGCAACGAAGAGCGTCAGAGGTTTGACTAGCCTCCCCTACCCACTCAGGCTGAAGCCCCTCAAACTATACAGTGGACATTAGCGGCGTCTAAGGGGCGATATCATAATGGTGTACCAGATTCTAAGAAACCCCAACCACGGACGCCGCGGAATTTTCTGCTACCACGCGCTGGATCCTGCTTTTTCTCTGGAATTACTGTATTTTACGTGTGTTGCTGTGTTAGTTGTGCACCAAACTTTTTAGTTTCGTGGGTTCATCAATCCGTGAAAGTTTCGTGGAATTCCGCTTGATATCTTCGGAGATCTCAGTGATTTACGGCTGTGCCCGTGATTTTGGAATTTGTGATCTACATCAGGTCTTGTCCTCGTGCTTGAAAAAATACAACAACTATGCCGAATATCATGCAACGACGTATCTGCTCTTCAGCTAATTGCGGCAAAGCCCTTAAAATGGGTATAACGTGCCGAAACTGCAGTGGCTCGTTCCACCCGAGCTGTATAGGAAAGTCCGCCCAAGAAGCAAGGCAAATAAACAAGGCAGCGGACGCATTTTGGTTTTGTCCAACTTGCCAGCTAACTCCAGTGGTCGGTTGTTTATGTGCACTCATGGTAAGGTGCGATACTTTGAATGCGACAATCGCTTATTTGTTGAACGCCAGGCTTGCACCACCGGCCGCGAATATGGCCATGATTGTACCACAGTCGGTCAAAGAAAGCTCCACCTCGAGGCCGAAAAAAAGGGCTAGACGCTCAAGCCGCGCTGCAGCCTCAGTTTCTCCAAATCTCCTGCCTCACTCAACTCCCAAAAGCGGACGTGCATCCAGAGTACTAATGTCCACACCTTTGAGTCACACGCCCCACCTCCATTCAACAGCAAGCGCGGAAGCTCCGGGGCAAACCTCTTCCGCTGTAGAGAAAAGTCGGGCGTCGTACGCCTCAGTCGCCTCCATGCATACACCGGCTAAATTACCTCCGACTCCGGTGGCCTCACCAAGCAACAGTTAGTTGACCAGACTCTAACAACCAAACAATCCGTTTAACACCGTGTCTGTAAGTCATGGCAAATCTGCATCCAACGCAAGGAGCCAAGGCGCGTTAACCGTTGTGTGCACAAATGTTCCTGAATCACAGGCGAGTACAATAAAGGGGAAGCTGTTGGATGATCGTAATCAGCGGAAGTCTATATGTACTGCGATTGGCATTTCGGTTGAACCTGCAATGCTGAGACGAGTCGCACGTCATCCAAATTCAGTGCACTACGGTGAACCCCGACTTTTCCGGGTGACACTAAACTCCACCAAGGACACAGAGGCAGTTCTACTATCGTCCAACAGGCTTCGTCATTCATCACTCGAGGCGCGCATACTTTCTGATATCCCCTGGAAGGAACGTCCGAAAAAGATGAGCAACCGTGAGGAAGTTCGTAAAGCCGAGGCGAAACGGACGATAATTGTGTACGGGGTTCCTGAGCTCCAAAACTCAACCTCTGATGCAGCGGATGCACATGACCGGGAGCAATGGAGTTACATCCGCCACGAAATCTCCCTCAATAATATCATCGCTAAGCGGTTGACCAGGATTCCATTTTCACCCAACTACAAAGGGAACGGGGCCAGACTTATGAAGGTGGTGCTTCAATCTAAGTTTATGTTTCTGCTCGCCTTGGAAGACTGGTCCAAATTCCGCGTGAAGCTACCAGCGGAAATTCGGCTAAAGGCATCAGGTACGCTGCCACGGATTACCAACGACTCACGGGGAGTGATCAAATTGTTGAACCATCCACTCATGCAACTTTGTGAAGGCATGGATTTATCGACAACCACAATATCCCACGAAACACGGCTGAACACGGGGACCAGCAGGGCCCGGAAGGCCGCGATCAGTCGTCTAACCGAAAGCAAACTCAAAGGCAAACGTCACCACAAAAAACGGTTAATGGCCGACCCGTTAACGGTCGGCACAAACTCCATTCCTACCACAACCTGTGCTAGCTCACTCTTGGTTACAAAAGCACTATCCTGCATGTATACTAATGCACAAGGCCTCATAAGTAAGTTGGTAGAACTCCGTCACCGTTTGGCTTCGGAGCCTCGAGACATCATAATGATCGCCGAAACCTGGCTGAGCGGCGAAATCACAGACGCTGAGTTTGCCATACCGGACACTGGATGGAGCTACCCTTTGAGCCTAGCACAACCACGAGGACCGTGCACTCTATTCCCTCCAGCAACCATTCAGTTTCCTGGATCCAGTAACCGAAGTAGAGGGTTTTAGACAGGTAGACAACATGTCAACATTCACTTCAAGCGCAGCCATACCCGGGGATATCAAACAATCAACATATAATTCAAGGGAACTCAACCACGCAAAATTGACACAGAATATGCAGCAGAGTTGAACAAGCCAAATAAAGTGGAATGACTTTTATCCAGATTGAAAAGTTTATGTTTAGTTTGGTTTAGCCCAACCGCGGTGAAGAAGCATCATGTGCGCAACCTGAACCTCAGCAGTCAAGTAGAGAATGGGCCGTGCGGAACCAAGCTTGTAAGGCGAAGCCGACCAACATACCCACCACCCGACCCTTGAGTTTGCGACTCTATTTTCGTTCCAACACTAACTGTGATCAACCTGGAGGTTGACACCAGCCAACAGCAAGGAGCACAAAAACCAATCCAGTTTTATGGGTGAAACTAACGAACTAACCAGTTCGTTGATATGCAATGTTTGCGCAAACTCCAGATATCAGCATGGTGTCACTACAAAAACAAGGAGTTGTGACGGAAGCCGTGACATAGCATAAAAGGCCGCTTGTTAAGGAAGACCTAGGTTAATTCCCTGTAGAGCCTGAAATAATCTGTAGCGCTCGGGTACATGGTTCATCGGAATGCTTTCTAAGAGATAAGTCGAGCAGTGTAGAATGGTCGACCGAACTGAACGCGTTCTTGCAGTCCAAGAAGTAGGATATATTACCTGCACTAAGCCCAAAGTGACAACATGATCTATACTGACGCGTCCCAACGAGAAATCTGACTGATCTTCACGTGTTCGTAGTAAAGCAGTCGGTGACAATGGAATGTGTAAAGTTGCTCCCTCGAATTATGAGACTAAAAGCTGTGTCCGTCTCACAGATAACCACGATTAATTCTGTAATTGTGGACGATTCGGCCCAACCGAGACAGTTTGCCTTTTTGAAGCTTGTTGATAACAACGAGGTGGTGCTTCACAGATGACCTGGCATTCGATAGATACGAAGTGGATGTGCCTGTACAAACGGAACGTTGACAACACATTGGTGACTGCCCCAAACATCAACGCTGCGAAATCTTATCTCGAGGCGATGAACAACGCACACCTGAATGCCCGGTTTACGTGTGAACCAGAGAACAACAACTGTCTCGCCATTTTCGATACGCTGTTGAGAGGAATAACAGACGGTGTGATACAGCGATCTAGTTACCGGAAAGCCGCTTGGACAGAATCTTACGAATACTTCAGTAACTCCAAGCCTGTCCAGTACAGAAGCTGCTTTGACAAAACTCCGCTCGCAGAATATGTACCCCCGAGTCTGATTCGCAATTTATTACAAAAGCTGTGGGTAAATGGCTATTCTGCTGCCTTTAGTACGTTCCATGACCGCACGATGGACGAGAACAAGAAAAGACCCCTACTGTGTCAAAAATGTCCGCCTCTCCCCAGTTGCCATTCGAAGAAAGTGTCGTGGCAAAGCGAATTGAGCGATTGGCAGCCACCTCAATCCGACGGACATTCAGTGCTGCCAAACTGAACCTCTTTTGGACAACCATGAAGTTACCAATGCCTCCGATCAAGCCTACCCAAACGATCTCCGCCACAACACTTTGCATTCACCACTTTGTCTGTAGCTGAGGAAGCAGTTACATCGGAAGAACAGATCGGTGTCTGTGTAAGCGGGTTGGAGAACGCATTCCGAATTGGCTAAATGCCGCTACGAGAGATCAAACGCGAGGTCTTTCGCAAAGCTCCGAAATGCCGACCTGATGGAATGCTAAGCACTTTCTAAGCATGAGGTTGACCCGGATGTGACGCAAACGATCATATATCGCAATATAAAAGCAAAAATAGTCAAGCTTTAGTATGTTTCCGGTTTGCATGTGATAAGAGAGCACGAAATGATGTCGTCTTGTTTTCTCAAGGTGTTGATTGCAAGTAAACGAACAGCGTAGTCGGCAGACGTACTCACGAGACAATCCGGACTCGCTTCACACGTGAGGTAAGTGAACTCAAAAATACGTTACAAGCACAAGCTGCCGAAGCACTGAGCAGAAGGGAAGGGACAATTGAGCAAAGAAAAGAGGTTGACTGATATGGTGATGGGCTAATACAACACCTCAAAACGAGGGGCACAACAGATCCGGAACGCTAGTAGACAAAGCCGCTGGAATGTAGAACCGAGCGTTCCCCATCTCGTTCCCTGAAGTAAGCACTATCATGACTGGACAGCAGACACTGCTGCATCTCACGTATACGCATCTCCAAAAGTTTTCGTAACTCGCGCTTCCGTTGGGCAAGTAGCTAAAAACGAAGGACGAAGAGGATTATGTGGTCAGTAAGGCAGTGATGCGGTGGGGGGGGGGTGAAACTAAGAAATAAGTACGAAGCTGGACCGGAGATTTTAATAATGTAATATAATACTGTGGGTTCGCATCCATAAAAATAGCGAAAATCGAATCAACAACAATGTTGGTAGAGTGCGTGCCGCAATGCACACACAGAGATGACTCAAAACGCACAATAAATCACAATCGCTGTGCCAAGTGTTGTCTACGGGAATCAGTGGTCCACTGATCAAGGAGTCAGCCGTCGACCGCTATGCGTGCCGGGTTTCGTGCACAAGTTTGGCAACAGAGAACAAACAAGGAAGCAGGGGCGCAGCATGGTTAGCTTAGGTAACCCAGATAGGAGTCTCGGAGCGCAAAATATAGGGTTCGAGTTGTAAGTGAATCTCGGTACGCGGTGGATTTGCGTCCCATATTCCGCACACAGTATGTATCTTCCGTAGACATGCTAAACAGCCCCGCACTACAGCAACTGATGCCTCAGAAATTCAACATGATGAAACAGCATAATGGCGGTAAAACAGCGGAAAGGTTGAGATATTGATGTAGAACGAATTTGCGACCATCTAAGACTTGCCCTTGTCAAATGCCTACTTCTATGTTGATCAGCCTCATCACTCGGCATGAATCATCCGTGTGCCTGTCCACTTGTCCATTTTCTGTTCCACGCCATTGCTGTGTGACGTAGTGTCCGAATTCCAGTTTATCTATGTCCTACCTTGTTTTCACTCCTACGCACAAGTACCTTTATGTTCAGCCTTATTGACATGGCACTGTTACCCTTGATTTGATCGATTTGTGTGACTCACAGCTTGTACAGCTAGGTGCACTAGACCTTGCCGCAGCACGTTTTCATTAGTGGGCGCATACCTACTACCACTGGCTCATCTGGACTCTTACCATAAGCTCTGTGTCGCACTTTGACTCCGCTGTGTTCTTTCGCACGCCTGAACTCATGGATCGTTCGTGGATCTGAGCGCGAATTGTTGTCATACTTTTGAGTGTGGAAATCGTTAAGGTACTGCCAATTTTGATACGATGAATTTGTACAAATAGCACCGTTATCTCAAATGCGGACTTGGTTTTTGGTTGAATATTCCGGTGAGATACGAGTGGCTTAAAGTTCCAAACGCTTTGTAGCATTACAATGGAGATGCAATATTACTTTCTTGAAGAGTATGTTATTGTTTATTTCTAAATCAACTGTGACACATTGAGTGAATACTATTCTTAAAAATTGATCATGACGAAAACGCGTTTCGTGTGACCGAGAATACGAACTCGTATAGCAGACCAATTGGGATCCACGAATTCGGCCGTGCTCCACGACCCTTGTCCAATAGATTTACCTAGACACGCATTTCCGAAGTATACTGGTACTAGTTTATGTTAACACACCGGTTAATTGTGCTACAGTTAGTGTTAAGCTTATTTATATCCGCAATACTTTAAAAACTTTGTGTGGTTTGCGAGACACAGGAAACCGCACTAACCTGACAACGAAACACAGGCAAATAGATCAGTCTAATAGGAGAGCAACCTAAACTGCACATCCGTGGTTTGAAATAAGCATATTTGCAATAAGTTGCAATCTTGATGTGCCTTCATGCTACGCTTTTCCATGATCAATTTATGTAAAACACCATAAACGAGTTAAAAAGCGATGGAATTCTACACAGAATATCATACAGGATAGAGGGTTGACTGCACGTCGAAGCAAGAAAATCAGAATAATGAGTATAGCCATTTCACTCAGTGGCGATACACGATCGCCATTGCTGTCGTAAATATTCTTTACTGAGCCTCACTATGCTACGACAACCTAGTATCCACGATGACGATGAAGATGCAGTAACCGCAGCAAAATTGGTCACTTCTTATTATATCGACAGCCTATGTGCACACAGTAACAGCGGTTGTGGCGTTACCACCTCTTCTACTACTAATAGTGCACTTCGGCATAGAAAGGTATTTTCGCCACACTTAAAAAACACATCGGCTGTTCAACCATGAAAAGCAAACGAAGATATCTGAACGAATGTTGTTCGGTTTAAGTGACCAACATTTAGTTTCTTACCAGTCGCAGATTTAGCGGTACTACCACTGCATACAAGGACATGGTGCGATTTGCAAGCAGGTCAGATCAAATACTATATATGGTATTTGCCAATCTGAAAATGTTTTCCGTCCGCAACCGGGCATCGGCTAGAAGTTCTAACCACACCACGAACAAATAATAAGCGGTAATACAAAATGGATTTCAACACCCGAACCGTCGTAGCTGCAGCAAACCAAAGCAGACGAGTATTGCACTATCGGTTAATTATGCTGAACGATACGCGGGGATTTGGACATATGAAGCAGTGTAGGATGTGTTGAGCAGTTTATTCTCGAATTTCCACGAGACAAGCCTGCGGAAACATGAGCAAACTATAAACTGTAAACTAAAACTAGAAGAACCACAAAGACGTCACCCGTTGGAACCATCGTTGCACCGCGGGGACAATGCCGCCTTCTGCAGAACATCGAGGAATTGCGGCAAAATAATGTCTCCACAGACTTCATTTTACGACGCGGACGTATCGAAGTGCCACGATCAGCTAACGAGTCAGGGAAACTTCTGCTTAGACATATGTAACTTAGTGGAAACGACAATGTTTATTCGTGTAGTTGGGTTTTCCTGAAACACACCCAACGACTGTGCAGGTGACTTTCTTTTTGAAAGATAAAAAGCGAACTGCGTTGATTCAATCACACGTGTATGCCTAGCCCATCTTGCGAAACAACAATTATTGATCAATAAGAAAGATAATGAAACGTAACTAAGCGGAGCAACCCGAAGTATCACAAACTCTGTTCTGGATGGGAAGGAATTAATTCTTGTTATGTGACCATTACCCTGATTCGATTTGCGACATATCACCGGCCTGGTTATTACGTCACCCAGATAGTACACTCGGCTCCAACCGGGATTAGCTCCCGGTCCGTAAACACTATCTCCTGTGGTGCTCGAGTACTGCGCGGAATCCTTGGCACATCAGTCCTCCGATGTGTACACACGTTGTGCCTAAACCAACACACGGTAGCCAAGCGTAGCCGAAACATCAGGTGAGTGCAGAAGAAAGGAACATGTAGTTATTGGATGAATGTTGACTCAGACACGTTCGGATGAACCCTATTAAGCTGCATGTCGTAGATGCAGCAGCATTTCATGCACATCCATGTTTTCTTTACAACGGAGTAAAAACTAAGAAGCCACGCGTATTTGGCTCACTGACCATAACAATGCTCTCGGTTATGTGGACCGTGAACTGAAGTTGGGCGATCTGCTCGGTTTTGGAGTCCAACCACAGGGATGATTTTGCCAAATGTTTCATTCCTATGGTCTACTTACACCGACTGATAATAACAATCGACTTATCATAACTGACTGAATCGCATTCGTCGGTCATACATTTGCACTCTCGCAATTTCTCGAATTCGATGTGTGTTGGTCTCAGGATCTCCTGAAGAAGAATACCCGGCATAAGGTTGAGAAGCACAGTTTATTTAAATATAAAAACCACTTTCTTTGTTGGTGCGCAGAAGGATACTGTGTAGATGAGGGATCGATAGCACTGCTGCATTCATCATACAACTTCCAGATTGATAATTACAGATTTCAGAAGAGTGGTAGGGGGAGTTGAATGTTATAGGAAGAAATTCATCACATCTAGGCTCACTCAGACAGCCGCCACAAGCCCGGAAAAGCACTGTACGCGCGTTTCATCCTTTCGGGAATCATCAGCAGTGCGCATTCCATCGGACCCTTGGTAGGGCTCGAAACCGCAACTCGACTGTTGCCAGTCCGTGGTTGAGACCACAGAGCTACGGCGGACGGCAACGACCATCGTGAATAAGTTACTAGATGTGATATAGCGCCGCTCACTATCCACTGACTTACACGTTACTGCCGTGCAGAGGACAGGGTAGCCCCCTCACCAAGCGACGAGCTTAACAAACTTAAGCCACCAATTATCTTATGGCATTATAAGCAGTTTGTTCTGCGTACTGATTTCAGAAGAGTAGTAGGGGGAGTTGAATGTTATAGGAAGAAATTCATCACATCTAGGCTCACTCAGACAGCCGCCACAAGCCCGGAAAAGCACTGTACGCGCGTTTCATCCTTTCGGGAATCATCAGCAGTGCGCATTCCATCGGACCCTGGTAGGGCGCGAATCCGCAACTCGACTGTTGCCAGTCCGTGGTTAAGACCACTGAGCGACGGATTCTGTCAGCACAAGAAGTGGGAAACAGCATCAAAAAAGAGTAGAACAACGGAAGAAGAGTCGTAATGGTGCTCCCGATTAGATGGAATGCTTTGATTTCAAGAAGCCCGGCCACTAGCTAAGCAAATACCAGTGGCCATCTATCAACATCACATCACACAAATAAGAATACAGTGAACGGACCGGTAACAATCCTACTTCTGTGTGACCCTTCTGACAGGTCGTGAGGGTCCGGTACCACAAGACCAGATACAAGACCCGCTTATTTGTGCACTTATTGAGGTAATGTCGCGGCGCTTCGTAGAAGCAAGGTACTGGTAAAATAGGATTGTAATCATGCAAGCTCTCTTTTGTCCAGGAATCGTCTGTTCATTAAGGGCTCGACATCCGGAAACAAGTTACTCGTTCATTTTGATAATGGAACTCACCAATCGCTCCTGACGTGCAGCGGCTACTCGCCGGTCGTGTTCCTCTTTGAGCTTCTCCTTCATGAGGGACATACGAATTTGTTGACTGAAAAGAAGAGCGCGGCAAATGCAAGCGCATGAAAAAGCGCAAAACAGTTACTGAACATTTGATAGCAGGCAAAAAAGGATGAGGGACAGGATACTGGGGCATGCGTCACGAGGGATTTTATCACTGAAGAAAGTAGGACAAACAGCTAGCAGATACTACGTTGCATATGCTAACCACGGTAACGTGCTGATAAAACGACGCTTCCCGATACTCAGGCCGAGGGGCTTGAATACGAGGTCCGCTACCGTGTTGAGTACAATTCAATACGACTGACGAGTTGAACAACGCTGACACTCAATGACCGTTTTTGTCCTCGTTTGGACACAGGTGGAGATAGCCGGAGATAGGAGTGAAACACGGGGCCTAATGGTCAACGGTCAAAGTTTCGATCAAAAATCTATTGAGGTCCATGAGCAACATGGTTGGCGGCATCCGGTTTTGGATTTGCCTGTCACTGTGGCCGCCAGCGCCTACAGAGGGACCATGGGTGGCTTGCGCTGCACCACCCACAGCTCCAACCATACACCCATATCCAGTGTAAAGGAGAAGGAATAAGATCGGGAGGCATGTGGATAGGAGCCACGTTTCATCAACGGAGCAGGCCCACACTCCTTCACAGGCAAACACAAGCACACTGTATTTGGGGAATCAAGCGCACACATAGGGCCGTTGTAAAACACTGAAAAGTGAATCTCTGCACTAACGGTTAGATGCTCCCGTCAATAGTGAGTAGCACACCACAGACAATGTGAGCCAAAAGAGAGCGCAATAGCAACATTCTCATGCTAGTGGGAGTACCTGTATAATTAGACATAGTGTAACAGTAATAATTTGTGCGTACTGATTCGTCGTACGATGCGGTTGTTACACAACCGCTATTGCGGTTTTTTATATCTTAAAGATAACATCTGTATTTTGGAATAAATTTTCAATAACTTGCTTTGACTTTGCACATCATTTTGAAGCGTGCATATCGCTTCACCGGTAATGATACTATGGCTTAGGAACACGCTTTTACACCTTAAGGGAACATCTAATGCAACATGGACGGAACACAAATTCACACTATTCACTTGGTTCAATTTAAACTTGATCGAAATATTGAGGAAACAGCTAGTGACATCAACAATGCATTCAGTAGTGGAATCCCTAATGATCAAACCGCGCAATGATTACGAAAGGCTTTAAGATAAACAGTGTGGTGGACAGACATCAGAAGTGCATATGAAATGAAAATTTGAGAAAACGTTGTCTCCCTTGTTCTGTGTAATAAAAACGACACTTTTCCCGACCGGATTGTGGCATGCTATGAAAAGTGGTTCCTTTTCGACAAGCGAAGACGCACTGCTCAATGCCTGTACCCCGATGAAGCTACACAACAGCTCACAAAGCCTAAATTATACCTAAAAGTTGTGATTAGTTGAACAATGAACAATGATTTATCACGGGATAAAAGTACGTGCTTGACACGTCCCATAAGATGATTGGGGTGAATACGATGAAATCAAAATATATTTGAGCCATCCACCAAACGTCTGCCAAGATGAATACTTTAATAAATAACATCAGTGCGCATACGTTCAGGAATACACTAAGTGCAGTGATTGTTGATATAAGGAGTGAGAAAAGTAACATATGGTTGCTCACTCCGGCCCAATTGATACATAAATCCTGTGGAAAGGCATGTTCGGCGTAATGCACAATAGAGGAGTTTAGGTAACAAAATGCTGGGAGCTAAGAGCAACTTCTGATGGTTTTTGAAAACATCCAAGGTAGGAGAGGATACAACTGAGTCTGGGAGTGCGTTCCAGAGTTGGCAAACCCGAAGGGAAAAGTAATTACCACGACGCTCTAGACGGCTATATTGTTCCTTCAATTTTAAGCAGTTACCCCTGAGCTGCGTGTTGTGGCTAAGTTTCAGCAAATGGCAGCATACGTGGATGGGGTCATTCAGTATCTGATACGCTAATATGAGATCGTCGCGCAACCTACAATAGCATCTGCTGAAAATTCCCAGCAACTTCAGCCTTCGGTGGTAAGAGTGATAGCGCAGGCCCTTTACATTCTTTGCTGCTCTTCGTTGTGGTGCCTCTATCACTTCTAGGTCGCGCTTCAACCAAGATTGCCAAGCTTGGATAGCGTATTCAACATGCGGGCGTACGTAGGAATTGTGCATCATTGGGAAGATTGATGGGTCAAATCTCCCGAATGCCCATCGCAGCATGCCGACGTGCTGGTTGCCTCTTTTCGCAGCTACCTCAGCCTGTTTTGAACAGTTGAGGTCGCTCTGTGCGAGCACACCGAGGTCACGTTCCTGGGAACTATTCTGCAATCCGTTAGTCCCGAGTAAATAGGTGTAGTTATGTCTATGGCGTAATTGTACAACGCGACATTTGTCTACGTTGAATGGTAGGGCATTTTGAACTGACCAGTTCGACACTGTGTTAAGATCGCACTGGAGCCGTCCGTGGTCTCCCGGTCCTCTGATCCTTCGCCATATCTTGATATCATCAGCGAAAAATAAGAAATAGGAAGCAATTGATCTTGCCAAATCGTTAATGAACACCAAGAATAGACGAGGTCCAAGCACCGAGCCTTGTGGTACATCATACACCACATAGATTGCATCGGACAATGATTCTCGGCTGGTCTAATCCATCATAGCTTTCTGAGTCCGGGCGCTGTCATTACAGCGGAGAAGTATCGTCAAGAAATCGCCGAAACGCATCGAAAACTTCAACACAAGTGTCCGGCACTGGTCAACAGAAGGGGGCCAATTCTTCGCCATGATAATGCTGGGCTGCAAGTCGCACACCCAACCCTAAAGTAGCTGCACGAACTGGGCTACGAAACTTTGCCTCATCCACCATAATCCCACGACATCACGCTTACTGATTACCACTATTTTAAGTACCTGGAAACGTCCTAAGAAAGAAATGTTTGAAAATCCAAGGATATACTGAAACCGCATACGAAAGGTTTATTGCCACAAGAATTCAGGAATTTTGTTCATCTGAGGAAGGTAAACTTGTTTCCCGTTGGTAAAAGTGTGCCAATTCAAATGGCTCTTACTTCGATTACGAATATTACGTTTGAGCCAGGATATGTGAATCCAAATTTCACGATTTAAAACCGCAGCAAGCTTCTCGACAAGCTAATACATAAACAATGCGCTGAGAAATTCAAAACTCACCAATGCTCCAATCCAGAAAGCTTTTGCTCAAACAACGAGATTTTAGCTTGTCTATCATCATGTTCCCATTTTTGTAGCTCCCTCAAGTACTCCTTCTCTTGCATCAACATTTGCTCAAAAAATCGACGGAACACCTGAAATGACCAAAAAAAAACACGTAGGTTCAGTGGTTTGCTGATGGGGATGATCAAATAAATGTGCCGTTAGACAGAGACCTTGATGAGTGGGGCCCAAGTTTGAATAATGGACTGGGTGCATGCATTTAGCGGACACAAATGAGCCCATCAGCCATATTTGGTACACTCCCCCCAATGACCAGAGTGCAGCGTAGTTCGATAAGCGGCAGTGAATAAACATACAATGCCACAGAACTGTAATGACTAAAAGAAAAGATAAAACGTAAACGAATGCAAGCATACGCACCTGCTCTTCCTCAACGACCTTGGCGATTTTCTTTCTGCGAAACTCTTGCACAAATTGTCGATAGTAGTTATGAGCTCTGACCAACTGATATCTTCGCTCCCGAATCTGGGCACGAACGAGGCGATCGGCCTCTTCGGTAGCACGTTGTTCTTGCAACCGACACAGGTGTAAGTCGTGACGCATTAACTGAGCCAGTCGGCGCTGCTGACGCTCCTCAACCCAAGTGGTGGTCTTTGTATTGGAGGCATTCGCCTGATGATCCAATGATCCGGTCAGCGGATGACGACGCCCATCTGGGTAGGTGAGGAGTCAAGGCAACGGGTTAGTGTAACGAGGACCAGGAGCAGCTCATATCACTTCGGAACATCAGTTGTGACCCGAGAGCAAGAAAAACAATGACAATGATTATGGTTACGTGCGTTACCACTGGAAAAGCGTACAAATCGTTGGAAGAGTTAAAGAAGCGCGTTTAGAACGCGAATGAAGGAATGGCATTTGGAGAGACCGACAGTTGGAAGTCGCAGATTGTGTGAAAAAGAGCTGTTGGTTTCTTGACTGCACCGGGTAACACAAGAGCCGCAAGGCTCATCCATGAGGGTAGATGCTATGCACCAATAAGACAGTCTCGCAATTGATTTGTTCGTGGTGGTTAGACGTGTGGCCAAATGAGCATTAGAGGACTGTTCAGATCTAGCTCGGACACAATAAATGGTATGCACCAAAGTAGGCGGACGGCTAAACAGTAACTACACCATATGCGCCCATCACATGCAAGGAATAGGAGCGGGTACCCATGACAGCCAGTTTCCAAATGTCTTCAAAGTACAATGGCCATGTCACCGATCTACAGAGAGCACTGATCGAATTGCAGTAGTGTATACCCGAACCATTGATAATATACTCACCGTCCCTATAAATGAATGAGGTTCCAAACATTTCCACGAGCATTGAGAATGAGTGTAACAAGCACACCTTGAAGCTGACTAGAGGCGATACAACCACCTGACTAAGTGAAGCGATCAGTTGTCTGAGATGGTGTAATGGCCCCACACAACACTTCGGGGGCCAATAATATTGGCTGCTTCTTGAGCATACCCAACATCGCAGTTGCTGAGTGTGAAGACTGCTACTTACTTTAGTTGACAGCCAAGACAAAACTGCGTAATTCGATTGATTCATAGCGAATTTCTCGCGGCCCCTTGGAATTGCATTTATCGAAGGTTTTGGAGGAGGACCCGAGTGGTTTTCCTGCTCAAATGTGGACACCCTGGCAGTGCATCAGACCAACGACCGAAAGATGAACTGCATGAATACTGATAATATCATTCTGCACCGGGGTCACGTAGTGGGTGAGCCAAAAGGGCCAACTTATCCACTGCATACAACGGGGCGGATAAGCAAAAGCATGAGACCGCTAACGTTTGACTTTTTTCCGTCCGCTTCCCACTCACATTCTCTTCTCCCAAACTCCATATCATCTGACCTACGCTGCACACTCCAACGCCAACCTCAGCGATTGTCCAGCGAAATCATACACGTCCGCAGAAAGCATTCAGCATAGGATGCTGGAACGTGCGCACAGTCCTGGACCGGAACACGAATGAGAGCCCGGAGCGATGCATTATAGCAGTCGCCATAGGACTCGGTCGCTACGGTATTGATATTATCACACTCGGCTCGCAGACTTTGGTAAACTGCACGAGGATAGTGCTGACTACATGTTCTACCGGATGGGAACCGATACCACAGCACCACGTGAACATGGAGACGCATTTGCACTATCCGATCGCTTAAATAGCCACATGATGGAGGAGTCGACTGGCATTAGCCCACAATGGATGCCATTTCACTTACGTAAGTCTTTTCAGTATTTATGGCCCCAGCATGTATTGTGCTGATAACACAAACATCCGTCGTCTACATGGTTGTCTCCCGTGATTTCAATGCGCGCGTTGTACGTGATGCAGGGCTGTCGGCAGACGCAATCGGGTAGTATGATATTGGCTCAAGCAATGGGAACAGTGACCATCTGATAATGGCCTGGTGACCACGAAGAGCTCCCAATGGGCGCTACCCGGAGGCACTCACGGAGTGGTCACATTCACCTGCTCAACTATGTTATGGTACGCCAAAGCCGCACACGCGAAGTTTGCATAACGTTTGTACTGCATAGAACTGAGTGTGGAACAGATCATAAGTTGGCGCGCACCAAACTGTATATACATTTTCGTAAATGTGTTCTTATTCTGCCGTAAACCGGTGGAGATTCAATGGTAGTTCTAGTGACAATGTTGAGAGGAGGTCGAACTGGAGAATGTGATGGCTACTCGCCTAGGTGGTGTCGAATCTATAGCCTCAGTGGGCGACCGGTGGCACCACATCCGTAAACAGATGATCGTTGCTGCCGAAGAAACAACTGGGTGCGTTAACTGCAAGCGGCCCAATTAATTTTAGGACAACAATGGGACCACTGGCACATTTATGTCAGAGAGGAATGCAGCGTTTGTTTCACATGTGGAGGATGCCGACAACCCGGAGAAGTAGGGTAAGTTTGGCAAAGTGCGCAGACAATTGAGTTGGCAGCATAGTAGCATCAAACATATATGGTGCATAGATAAGGCAAAGGAGAAGCAATGTTGTGCCCAGCGACGATAAGATCAGAAGATTGATGACTCTTTGAAGGCGGTGTATGGATCCATCTTGCAACCGCAGTAATTCACATACGAATTGTGGGCAGAATATAGGTGTGGTGAAAGCACTTTGAGCGCCTCTGAAACAACTGTTTAGAGATCGGCCTATGTTGCACGGACTGCAAAAGCAACAGGTGAAGAAGGGTGTAGTCGACACCTTGATAATCCATGAGACGCGGACGGCATTCGCTCAGCGACGAATCATCATCATCACCACCATCATCATCATCACCATCAATCTATTTGCCATTAATACGTGTCCTAGCCTTGTCTATTCTCCATATTTGCCTTATCGATCGCTGGTAAATTTAAAGATGGTGAAGAGGTATCCCTGCGGAAGTGGCTCTAAGATTGTTGGGTATCGCGCAAACGCTGTTTCACCTGGAGTTTGCCAAACAAACTTCCACATTTCGTGTATTCGTCGTTCTGTGGACCAGTTTCGCGTTATCCGCGAGATTCAACACGATTTCGTCAAGATTATATGTAGGGAGTACCAGTGCAAACTGCAGCCCAAGCCCCCTGGGAAAACTAATCAACGGACCGGTAATGTAAAGCGTTCCAAGGCCTGCAACTTCGTAAGTTCTGCGCAAACGGCACAGACACAAGTATATTGCAAGCCTACAACCAGCTCCGCTGAGCGAGCCCCTGAATCGCCGTAGCTCCTCTTTACCACCTGTTATTGTCTCGACGGACACTGCAACTCGAATGTGTGACAAGCCAGGTAGTGATGACCTCTGGAAAACAGAAAAGGCCAAAGAAACCGAAAACTACGTCCAGCGATATGAGGAGTCGCAACTTGATGGTTTTCCACGCACTTGTATCATCGGATTCAATCCCTCAGGTTTGCTATGAATACGACGTCGAGCTTCTGCAGAGTCTAGTTGATAGATTGCTGGACGTCGGTCAAAACCGGCTGAAAGTGGAACAAATTGCCAGTCTGCGAAAGAAAATTGAAGGAAAGTTCGACCCATGAGAGTCACTGTTACTGACGAAGCTAGTCCGAGGTTGATTTTATCGCGCCTCGGTGGACCTAAGGGTTTGAAGATCCATGTGCGCGCAGACATTGATAAAGAAGACGGAGAAAAACTCAAGTCTCCCTGGAATGAACTAAAGCGGCGCACTGAAGGCGGGTAAACAAAACTTCGCATTGTAAATTTTCGAGTAGTTAACCGGGTTCCTCCTCGAATGTGGATGAACAGGTCGTTAATGTTTCACGAACACCCGACTGTTCCCACAGCGACCTGCGTGTAGCCTTTACGAATGTTTGTTGTCTAATGAACAAACGTGACGAGGTTTGCCACTTTGTTGCCTCTCGGCAACCATACAAATTGGGCCAAGCTGAAACTTGGTTACATCCAGAGATCACCGCGCAAAAAATCGAAACCAGCAAATATGCTTGCCTCCGTTGTGATGGGCTATCAAATGACCACGGCAGCGTGCCGCTATACATACGGTCTTCATTGTGCGGGAAACTAACGAGCATCTACAGAAGCGGTGATGCCTTATGTGAGCAGCTATGGTGTTCGATCCACTTGAGAGGCGGCGAACTCCCTGTGGGTGTTGTGTATCACAGTCCATTGAGCCGCGGCTTAGGCTGGTTGCCTCATGTGCGCAATCAGATGGGTCGTCTACAATTCTTGCTCATGGGCGATTTCCATCTTCCTTGAATACGGTGACTGGAGGTCGAGCTTCGCCTCGGCCACTGCGAAGTCGAGACGAAGTTTGTAGTAATGATGTTTGACACTGGGGCAACGCAGCACGTCAGTCGACGCACATTATCGCGCGCTCGACGCCATCGTGCCTGGACTTGTTGCTAACCAGCTGGGAACAACATTTGCATGACATTTAGGTCTTGGAACCCGTGGGAAAGAGCGGCCACTCGATGGTCATGGCGAGCTTAGAGCTGCCACTGTCGTTCACAACGTTGGAGTCCGTCTTCAAGTACTGGAAGACGGACTTTAATGGACTCAATCGAGCCGCCAGCATGATGGACTGGTCGCGCCCACAGGATTCATCAGTTGAATCCTGTTGGTCCATCATAAAAGAGGGAGTAAAATTATTGTGCGCCCGATTTGTACCCCTCAAATATCGGGAAGCTGGACCAGTCAAGCCACATTGGTTTGATAAGGAGTATGGCAAACTGGCTCGATGGCGACACCGGCTATGGAGCAAATTCGTCCAATCTGGCTCTGAGGAAACTTACGAGGCGTACAAGAGTTAATGAAATGCCTGCAACAGTGCGAAAACGAGCAAACACCGAAACTTCGAAGAGCAGCTTGTAATCGCAGCAAAAACAGCTCCCAAGAGGATCTTTGCATATGTGAAGCCACGCCTGAAGCCGAAAGGTAATGTGCCTGGGTTGGAGGGCTCGGACGAACAGTCCGTAGTTGCCAGCACTGAGGGTGCTTCCGCACTGGCGGTGCACTTCGTTTCTGTTTTTGCAGATAACCATGCATCCGTACCGAGCTTGACGCATATCGCCCCTACCGAGCT